CCGACACCCGCTCACCTCGCCCGCAGACCCCGAAGACGCGGCCATGCCGGGCCGGGCGGAGGCGGGGGAGGCCGAGGAGGAGGCCGGGGCCGGCTCCGGGTCCGAGGCGGAGGAGGACGCGCTGTGGGAGCGGATTGAGGGTGTCCGGCACCGGCTAACGCGCGCCCTGAATCCGGCCAAGCTCACGCCGTATCTGCGCCAATGCCGGGTCATCGACGAGCAGGACGAGGAAGAGGTGCTGAGCACCTACCGCTTCCCGTGCCGCGTCAACCGCACCGGTGAGCGGCGGGGGCGCGCCTCGGACGACCCTGACCGGAGCGCAGCGCGTGGGGCTCGGCAGCCGGGAGCCCGGAGTGCGAGGCCAAGGCTCTGCCGCCTGGGGCCCCAGTCTCCACGTCGGTGGCGTGGACTGCTTGGGGGGCTCCCACCATTCTACAACCCCACCCCAACACCCCGTTCCGGTGGCCGTGCCCACACCGGCGTCAGGGTTTGTCTGTCTTGGGGTTCGCACCCACTTCCTGGGCCCGCAGCAGAGCAGAGGCTTGGATGTGGTTGCGGCTGGGCTTGGGACCTCCTTATTAACGCTGGTGGCTTTGCATCTTTCCTGTGCCCTTTGCCCTCCTGGGCTCTCTCTGCCCCCTCCTTGTGTGGCCCAGGCTCCTCAGAAACTCGGTTTTCCTTGGAGGAGCAAGACCTGCCTTGGTTTTACCAGGCTTCCCTCTCCCAGGGCGTGTCTTTCACCACAGTTTCAAAGCAAGAGGGTCTAATGGTGGTGTCTCTGGCCGGGACCAGTGGTAGAAGTCCTTTGCTTTGGGGGAGGGAGGGGAGTCCCCTGTGTCATTGAAAACGTAGGTTGCCTTTGCTGGCCCAGCATCTGTGTTGGTGGGGTGTGGGGGTGTCTGGAGCTGCCCAAGTGCAGCTGCCTTTCAGGGGTCCGGCTCCCCGGCTACGGCAAACAGGCTCTGCTCCTGATGTGTCAGGACAGGCCCTGCATGTGTCACTGGCTCAAAAATCTGGGGAACGTGGGCCCCAGAGCATGGTGGGGGAGGGAGCAGCCAGGTGGGGGGTGGCTCCTGACCCCTGAGGGCACCCCTTCTCCAGGGCGCCTGATGGACATCCTGCGCTGCCGTGGAAAGAGGGGCTACGAGGCCTTCCTGGAGGCCCTGGAGTTCTACTACCCAGAACACTACACGCTGCTCACAGGCCAGGAACCTGCCCAGCGCTGCTCCATGATCCTTGGTGAGCGGATCCCGATGGTCCCCAGGCTTCGGCCATCCCTGCAGAGTTCCTTACCTTGTCGCTGTCAGAGAGGCCCTCCTGCTATCTGTGTTGAACAGGGAAACTGAGGCCCAGACTGAAGCTGTCTGCCCAGGTCCCCACGATAGGCCGTTCGATTTACAGGAGTCTTTCCCTCTAATACTATTTTCCGACATGGTGTGGCCGCTCTGCACAGGCTTATAGTTTCTTACCCAAAACGTTCAAAGGCTCCAGGTGCCTTGAGAAGGAAGAGAAAACCTTTCCTCCCTCCTTCAGTTCTGTTCTGCTGGTGGCGAGTCCCCTTGTTTTTCCGTTCCTACCCTAGCTTGGTCTGCGAGTGTTGCCTGGTGGTTTGCTTTTTCTCGGAGTGGCTGATGTAAGTGGTGTTTCTACCTTGTCTGCAAGTGACTGGGTAATGTTCGTGGGTGAGGTGGTGACATAATTCATTTAACCCAGCCTCGTGGATGGACATCTAGGTTATTTCCTGCTTCGTAACATTATGATGTGGTGTGTGCATCTTTGTACAGTTCTACTTCTCCGAACTGGGGAGAGTTTCTGAAGTAGAACGTCTCAAAGAGTATGTATGTTTTATTTTATTTTTGGTTGTTCAAGACAGGGTCTTACCATATAATTCAGGCTGGCCTTGAGTTCACTACATAGACCAGGCTGGCCTCAGACCAATGGCAATTCTGCCTCAGCCTCCTGAATGCTGGGATTACAGGTGTATGCCTCTGTGCTTGGCTGTATGTTTTAGATGTTATATCAGTATACCGCCACCAGCAGTGTGTAAGTGCCCATTTTGCTGTACCCTCAGGAATCCTGCGGATCACTTATTTTTTTATTTTTTGGGGGGGGCACCAGGAATCAAACTCAGGACCTCAAGTTTGTCAGGCAGGCACTGTGCCACTGAGCTAAATCCCCAGCCCCAAATCACTTTTTTTTTTTTTTTTTTTTTTTTGAGACAGGGTCTCACTCTGCAGTTCAGGCTGGCCTTGAACTCCCTATGTAGCCCAAGCTGGTCTCAAACTCACAGTGATCCTCCTGCCTCAGCCTCCTGAGTGCTGGGATTACAGATGTGTGCCACCACACTCGGCAGATCACTTTTTAAATGTTAAAAATGTTTTAACATTTTTGTCAGGTTGATATATAAAAAATAATTTCTTTTCAGGCTTTTAAAATTTTTTATTTATTCATTTATTTTTTAATTTTTTTTTGTCTTTTTGAGACATGGTCTCATTGTGCAATTCAGGTTGGTCTTGAATTCACTTTGTAGCCTAGGCTGGCCTCAAACTCTTGGCGATCTTCCTGCTTCAGCTTTCTGAGTGTTGGGATTACCGGCATAGGCCACCATTCCTAGCTGTTTCAGGCTTTTATATTTCATTGAGTGATGTAGTTCACAGCTTATTCTGTTCTAAACCTGGGATAAATGACTTCTCTGTGCTTCCATCTTTTCTTTTTAAAATGAATTGAATAATAGTATCTAACTTAAAGTGTCATGAGTATTGCATGTATCTAATACAAAGAATTAAGTCGACAAATGTTAATAGCTACTGCCATTATTGCTGGGGGAGTGGAGCATATTTTCCTGTGTTTATTAGTCATATTGTTGGGGGATTTGCCTGTTGATAGCTTTTGCCTATATTTTTATTTAGCTGTTTTATTGATTCTCAGAAGCTCTTTATATATTTTGACTTTGAGTTGTATGTGGCACTTTCTCCCTCTCTGTCTCTCTCTCTTTTTTGTCTTTTTGAGACAGGGTTTTACTATGTAGTTCGGGTTGCCCTTGAACTCACTTTGTAGCTCAGGCTGGCCTCAAACTTGCGGCAGTCCTCCTGCCTCAGCCTTACAAGTGCTGGGATCACAGGTGCATGCCACCATGTCCGGCCTTTTGCTTTTCTTTTATCTTAGTTGCAGCTTTCCTATTGCAGAGATTGTCACATTTGGATAGATTTGTTTACCTTCTCTCTTCTGATGCCTAGATTTTGTGCCTCCTCCCAAACCACCCAAACACATCCCAGAGTTTCCCTTTAGGGCTTTATGGCTTTCTTTGTGCACCCTGACCTTCCCCTGGGTTTTATCTGACTGCTCTGGCTGTTCTCTCTCCTGTCCCGGCAGATGAAGAGGGGCATGAGGGCCTGACCCAGTTCCTGATGACGGAGGTGCGGAGGCTGCGGGAAGCACGAAAGAGCCAGCTGCAGCGAGAGCAGCAGCTGCAGGCGCGGGGCCGGGTGCTGGAGGAGGAGCGGGCGGGGCTGGAGCAGCGCCTTCGGGAGCAGCAGCAGGCCCAGGAGCGCTGCCAGCGGCTGCGGGAGGACTGGGAGGCCGGCAGCCTGGAGCTGCTCCGACTCAAGGATGAGAACTACATGATCGCCATGCGCCTGGCCCAGCTCAGCGAGGAGAAGAACTCGGCCGTGCTGCGCAGCCGCGACCTGCAGTTGGCGGTAAGTCGGGGTAGGGGGCACGGGCAGGATGCGGTGAAGAAGGGACAACCGATGTGAAAAGCGATGCCTTCTCCCTGCATCCTTTAACTGCCCTGCTCCCACTTCCTTGGGCTGTGGCTGTGGTTCTCAGCTGGGGACGATTTTGCCCCACCTCCAAACCATCTGGGCAAGTCCAGAACATTTTTGGTTGTCACAACTAGGGACTTGTAGTGGATGGAGGCCGGGAATGCCACTAAACACCCTGCAGCGCTCAGGACAGCCCCTAACACAGAGAATTACCTAGCCCCAAATGTCACTAGTGTCAGGGAGGAGAAACCTTGGGTTATGAGGGTTCAGTGAGTTTAAGGCACGGAATTAAGGTGGATGTGGTAACACATACCTGGAATCCTAGCTACTCAGGAGGCTGAGGCAGGAGGATTGTAAGTTCCAGGCCAGCCAGGGCAGCTTTAGTGAGTCTGTGTCTCAAGATAAAAATAAGGGCTTGGGTATGTCGCAGTCCTGGGTTCAATCCTCAGTACAGGGTGGGAACGAGAAAGAGAAAAAAAAAAAGATGCAATCTCAAGTGCCTGCAGTGCTTGCCAGAGTCAGTGCTCAAAACCTCTGTCACGCAGGGTGTGGTGGTGCACGCCTGTAATCCCAGCACTTGACAGGCTGAGGCAGGAAGATTGCTGTGAGTTCGAGGTCAGCCTGGACTACATAGTGAGACCTTGTCTCCAAGAAAAAAAAAACACCCAACAAAACCCAACAAAAAATAAAAACCCTGGGTCACTGTTAGCTGACATCATTATCAAGTGCCATAGGAGTGTGCCACGTAGGCTGCACGCGTCATGTCATAGAGTCCTCACTGAAGCAGCACGAGCCAGGTTCCTGTTGTGAGTATAGACACCGGGGCTCAGATTGGTGAAGTGACTTGCTCAAGGTCACCATGCCAGGAAGCAGCATGGCCTGCGCGTGAACCGGTCTGCCTGGCCCCGGTGCTGGCCTCCTTCCCAGGATTCTGTCTGGCCCAGGGAAATCTCACCTAGTCCTCAGCAGAAAGTGAGGCCGGGCCCTCCTGCTGGGGGACCTGAGCGCCGCTTTCTGGGACTGAGAGTGCTTACACTGGTTTTGACCACAGGGCATCATCCCAAGGATTAATGCCAAAGATCCGTGCCAAGGCTGTAATACTGCCACCAGCACACAGTAGGCTCTCTTCTTAAACACTTCGAGAGCTCACAGTGGGATTTTGGCCTGAGCCTGGGGTTGTGGCTGCATTGCTGTGGGCAGTGGCCGGGGCCTGTGGACCGCGGTGGGCACGTGTGAGCTGTGGGTGAGGGGCACTGGGTTCCAGCGTCTGTGTCTGTGTGCCCAGTGGGTTGATGTTTGGGCAAGCAAAGCCCTGGTCAGTGTGTTGAGGCCTCTGGTCCTGCTTGAGGGCGTAAGTGGCCAGTGTGGAGGTGGGAGGTGACAGTGCGGCCATTGCGTGAGGGTCTCTTTGGTGCCTGGCATTACGCAGAGGCTTTCGGAGGGGGGCTGGGCAGGGCTGTGGACACAGGTCCCAGGTGCAGGTCTGTCCCTGAGGAACAGCCTGGCACGGGCCAGGCTTCCCTTCCAGTGCCTCAGTTTCCTCGTCCTCAGAGCGAGAGGCCACAGATGAGGATGGCACAGCAATGACGGGCGTCCCACTGTCGCCCTGTGCACAAACGCCTTTCGCTTGCCAGCAGCCCTGTGTCGGGGATGGGCGCTGCCATCCTCCCTCGTGCTGGAGGGCAAGTTGAGGCATGGAGAAGTTGAATTCCCTGCTCCGCTGTTGGCATTGCTGAAAGGAATAGGGGGCAGATGCGGGTCCCATCTCTTCATGCAGAGGGGTGCCTCTTCTTCTGAAACAGACGTGGGTCTTGCAGTGAGGTTTTCTCAGAAAGAAGCTACTGCTCCGTGGTGGCCGGGGTGGGGCACGCAGGCTGTGATGGCGCGGCTTCGTGTCACTGTTGGGTTGGGAGGGATTTGTGAGTTGGGTCCTCACAGGCGTGGGTGACCGGGAGGTGTCCTGTGTGCGCACGGCCCTCAGGGAGCTGCTGGGATGAGGGAGGGCCTGGGGTGGCAGAAGAGGCGGCCAGACGTACTCGTGTGTGGTACAGGTACACAGAGGTAGGATAACCTTCTGTTGTGTCCGCTTTTTGCCAGGTGAGGGGGTAGACGGAGAGATTCAACTAGTAGATAAACTCCTGTATATTTGCCTTCATTTTTGGAGCTTTTCTGCCTCACAATTCAAAAAGGCATCGCAGGTGGATACTCATAGATCAAGCCGGCTAATGGTACCTGGCTTGGCAGCTTGGGTCCCCTCCCCCCACGGACAGGTGTGTGGCGGCTGCGATTTAATACTGTGTTTCATAAGGTGCAAATTTAATGAGCTGTTATTTCTAAGCAACATAAACTGAAGGAACAAATGCTATAATTTTGTGCTAAGTGAGTTTAAACACCCGGATTAAATGCATCCGCATTTCCTGGTGTTTGGCGGAGGCTCCCTGGTGTCCTGTCCTCTGAGCTCATCGGGAGCCCGGCTGGCCGCAGGTCCGCGGGAGGCCGTGGTGTGTGGCTGCGGTTGGCTGTGACGGGTGTGACCATGCCTGCCCTTGAGACCAGCTGTCTTTCTCTGGCCGGTCACAAAGCGCGTTTTGTGAGCAGAAAGGAATGCGGGAGTCATGGATTTCTTTCTGAGTCTTTGCGGAGGAGGAGTGCACAGTTCATTTGTGAAATTGCCAGACCTAGTGTTCAGGCTCCTCTGTGTGTGTGTGTGTGTGTGTGTGCGCGCGTGCATGCACATGTGTGGTGCCATTCTGGGCTCTGAGGCTCTGGGAACTAACATGTCATTTTCCAGGAGAAGAAACAGCCCTTGGCACCAGACACTGGCACACTTGAGGGTAGTCCCAGAGATCCCTGTGACCTTTCTCCAACAGTGACTTCATTCTCTGGGCTGCCACCTGTGCCTTCCCTTATCACTGTCCAAACCCTGCGTGAATCTGGAAAATAGCCCTGGCCGAGCATATGCATAAGCCAGCAAACTGCCCATGCATGTCTGCCCTTGCCTGGCGGTCGTCACCCAGGTGCCAGCGCCCAGCCTGGGCCAGCCCTGGCTACACACAATGGACTGGTGACTGTTACGGTCCTGGGATTTTATTTAAAGCAGCCAGTTCAGCCGCAGCACACGTGTGGCAGCTTCACAGCCTGTCCTGTGCGTTCACTGTCTTGTTGGGTTCTTGTAGTGATGTTGGGAGGCACGTGGAGGGGCGAGAGGATTGACTGGGCCCATTTCACTGATGAGGAAACTGAGGTTCAGAGCTTGCTCACAGTGACAGAGCCTAACAGTGGCAGAATTGGAACCAGAACTCTGGACTTGCAGGTGTTGGTGGGGAAGTGCTTGATCTTGGAGTAGAGACTGTTAGGGACATCTTCAAGGGAGGAGGACCGGGCCCAATCTGTCCTGAGTGTGTGTGGAGCTGGAGGTGGGGGTGGAGGGGACATGTTGCATCGGGGGCTAGGTGACACCCTCAGATTCCTCACTGTCCTTTTCCCAGGCCCTGGTGCCCACTTTTCTTCTTCTTTTTTTTGTCTTTTTTTTTTTGCGACAGGGTCTCGCTATGCAGTTCAGGCTGGCCTTGAGCTCATTTTGCAGCCCAGGCTGGTCTCGAACTCACAAAGACCCGCTTGTCTTAGCCTCCCGAGTGCTGGGATTACAGGCATGTGCCACCATGCCCAGCTAAAATTATTTTATTTATTTTTTGTGCTGGGAATCAAACTCAGGACTTTGTGCTTGCCAGGCAGGCGCTTGTGCTGCTCGGCTACATCGCGGCCCTCCCACTCGGCTTATGCTGCCCCTCCTTCTCTGTCATACTGATTCTGGGCCCCATGGGCTGAACTCAGTGTCAGGACCTTAGGATGCTGTTCAGGCTGTGACACGGCGTCACCCACAAGGTCATGGAACAGTGTCCCGTGGGAGGGTGACCTTGGCCTCCTTGTCCCTTCTCTCCTCCCCGCTGTTTTCATATCTGCCCAGCCTGTCCCTTCTTCAAAAGCAAGTCCTGGCGGACCCTGTCAGGCCCCTCTGGGAATCTGGGAGGCACCCAGGAGTGAGGGAACTCGACCCCGCCCCCCCAGTGACCTTGTGGGTCCCTCCCTGGGCTGACCGTGGTCTGGGCCCTAGGTGGATCAGCTCAAGCTCAAGGTCAGCCGGCTGGAGGAGGAGTGCGCACTGTTACGCAGGGGCCGGGGGCCGCCGCCCGGGGCTGAGGAGAAGGAGAGGGAGCCGGACAACGTGGACCTGGTCTCCGAGCTGCGGGCCGAGAACCAGCGGTTGACGGCATCGCTGCAGGAGCTGCAGGAGGGCCTGCAGCAGGTAGGAGGCTGACCTGGTGGGGGGAGTGGGCAGGACCCCTGTTGCACATGGGGCTCCCCAGGTCTGGGAAGTAGAGGATTCCAGACAGACCCAGGGTTTGAGATCTCGATGCATCCGGCCACTTGCCCATCCAAGGCTCTGAGTGGAGTATGCTTACCCACTACTCCCCCTCTGGGTTTAATCTAGGGTCTGTGCAGCCTCCTGGAGGCCTCTGAACTCCCAAACCCTGCACCTGATCCTGTATGTGAGCATTTTCCTGGGAAGAGGGCCTCCCAGGTTCCTGGGGTTTGTAGAGGCGTCTCCCCCTAAGGAGGTTCAGGGCTCTGAGGTCTGGGTGGCCCAGGGCTGGCTTGGTGGCCTGTGGCAGGTCTGTGGCAGCATGGCTTTGCCTCGGCCTAGTTCCACCCAGGAAGTGAAGGATGGGAACCAGCGTATTTCCTCGTTGGGGGTACTCAGGCCCAGCTCTCTGGGGATCCCTCAGAGGAGTGAGAATAGGCTTCGGATGCTGCTTTATTTGCTGGGGAGGGGCCAGAGCAAGAGAGTGGTCCAGATTTCTGTGTTTGGGACTAAGGTCATGGCTGAACTTAACCTCATTTGTATCCCAGATATTCCTGGGGGCCACACCCACTCTCCAAGGGTGACACTGAGGTCCAGAGAGGTCAAAATTCTAGGCCAAGTGGGCAGAGTTCGTAGGTGGGGTCCGAATGCTGAGGGCTGGGGTCTCATTTCCTCACCCAGCGTGGGGCCTGGGGCAGGTGCTGAAGTGACCGTGAGCTCTGACCCCCAGGAGGTGAGCCGGCCGGGGGCACCGGGCTCTGAGCGCATCCTCCTGGACATCCTGGAGCATGACTGGCGGGAGGCGCAGGACAGCAGGCAGGAGCTGTGCCAGAAGCTGCATGACGTGCAGGGGGAGCTGCAGTGGGCCGAGGAGCTGCGGGACAAGGTAGTGCCTGCCACCTCACCTCGCCTGCTGCCCCCTTCAGTGCCAGTGTCCCCCTCCCGGGGGAGAAAGTGTCAGGCCTCATGGGTCCCTTTCAGCGGGCTTTCCAGCATCTCTGTGCAGGCACCGTGCTGAGAACTGCGCATCCATTCGTCCTCAGTTACCGACGGGCCTGCTAGGCCCTTGAGAGTTATCAGTGAACAGAGCAAAGCCTCTGCTCCTGCAGAGCTGCTTCTAGGAGGGAGACTGGTGCTGGGTGCCCGCGTGACCCTGCAGGAGCTGTTTCAGACAGAAGACAGTGCTGTGCGTTGAGCTGAGAAGGGGAAGGGGCTGCAGTTCTAGGTTCAGCAGGGCCACCGAGGCTGGCCTTGCTTGGGGGGACATCACTGCTCTCTTTTTTTAGTACTGGGAATTGAACTCACAACCTCACGCTTGCCAAGCAGGCGCTGTGCCGCTGAGCTCTATCCCCGGCCTGACGCCATTACTGTTGTTCTGCAGTTTGCAGATGAGGCAGTGAGATGAGGCCGTGGCCTGGATCATCCCGCTGGGGAGGTGGGTGGTTGAGGCTGGGGCTCAGGCCTCTCTCGGGACTGCCGGGCATCTGCTGGCCGGCTTCCCTTGGGCTGGCCTGTGGTCTGAGTGCGCCACCCTCCCCGCCCGCAGTATCTGCAGGAGATGGAGGACCTGCGACTCAAGCACCGCACGCTGCAGAAGGACTGTGACCTGTACAAGCACCGAATGGCCACTGTGCTGGCCCAGCTGGAGGAGATTGAGAAGGAGCGGGACCAGGTAAGCCCAGTCTGCTGTGCCCTGGCCTTGGTCCCACCGACAGATCTGGTCCATGGGAAGAGAAGGGGGAGGAGTGGGTAAGACTGGAATTTTAGAAAGAGACTTCCGCAGTGCACTGGTTGGTTTAGGATGGGGCAGCAGGGCAGGGCAGGGCCACAGAGACAAGTGTCTTTGGATGCCCTTGAACAAACCTGGAATTTGCTAGAATATAAAACCTGGGCCTCAGACACCAGCTCGTCTAGCCTGATGTGGGCCTAAATGCAGATGCCCCCCGCCCCTGCCGACTCCTCAAATCCCCGCATTGCACAGGACCAAAAGAGGGCTAGGGATGTGGCCAAGGTCATGTAGCCAGCAGTACTGGAGCCAGGTGTCCAGGCCCTTTGTGAGTCAGACGCTGGTCCTGAGATGCCAGCCTTGTACCCCGAACCCATACCTTACTTGCCCTCCCGAGACAGATACTAATACCAGGCCTGGCGTCCTTCATTTCTGAGTGTTTTGTTCTCTCTGTATCAGGGACAAGGCCAACATAGAAAAGGTGCCTGCACATATTTGCTGATGAAGAAATTCTCAAAAGTTTTGGCTCTGGTCCCTGGGGACTGTAGCCTTTGCCTCCCACCGAGGCCGCGGGGCGGGCTGTGGCTCCTGGGCCAGTTCCTCTATGCCCTGCCCGCCTCGTGCAAGGCTGCCGGTGCAGGGGGAGGGTGGGAGGGTTTGGCCTTGACCACATTTGAGTCCTGGGAGAGGCGTTGAAGGTTGCTATTGAGAACTGCCCTCAGTCTCAGAGGCAGGGGTTGAGGGTGAAGATTTGGGGTTTCCCTGGGTTTTCTAACTCTGATGGTTGGGGCAAGGCCCAGGAATGCGCGTGTCACCAGGGCACTTCCAGCCCCAGGCTTTCCTCGTGGAGAAAAATACTTAGGACGCAAAGGGCAGGGTTTAACCTCTGCACTCCTACACTGACTGAGTGCTGTGAACCAAGCCTCAGGAGCACAGTAGGTCTCCTCAAGGTATTTTAGGTTATTCTTGGTGAAATAGTAAGAGCCTGACTCCACAGCTTGACTGGCTGGTTGGAGTCCCGCTCTGCCTCGCTGGCATGGTTTCTCCAGCTGCAAAAGGAGAGAATGATGATGCTATCTCTAACTTAGTCTGTTACTACGAAGATGCAAAGAGCTGATACTCAGCGTGGGGCCTGGCACACAGGAAGGGCTTGGTAGATGGTGGCTGCCACTCAGATGCCGGGACAGTTGGGCCTGTGCAGCTCAGCTTTTTCAGCGGCTGCCTCCCCCTGCTCCCTCCAGGCCATCCAGAGCCGCGACCGAATCCAGCTGCAGTACTCACAGAGCCTCATCGAGAAGGATCAGTACCGCAAGCAGGTGCGGGGGCTGGAGGCAGAGCGGGACGAACTGCTGACCACGCTCACCACCCTGGAAGGCACTAAGGCGCTGCTGGAGGCCCAGCTGCAGCGTAGCCAGGGCAGCTCCTGCCTCAAGGTGAGAGGAGTCAGGCATGCAGTGGCCTGGGGTTCCAGCAGGAGCTGGGCATGGGTTTGTGAGCAGGATGGGGACAGGTACATTTCTTTTTTTTTTTGTTTTTTCTCTGGTACCGGGAACCGAACTGACGATCTTGCGCTTGCCAGGCAGGCGCTTTGCCACTGAGCTAACTCCCCAGCCCTGGGACAGGTACATTTCTGAGTTTCTGGGGTCGCACGGACACTGAGGATTGTTTGAAGCCTCTTTGTGCACATACGTGGGCAAGTATGTTGGAATGGAAAACATAGACCTTGGAGATCAGCTAGTCTAGCGTGGTATGGGCCTAACAGTCTCCCGGAGACCAGCTAACCTAATCTTCTATGAGACAGTTTCCCATTTCTGGGATGAAACACCCGGCACACACAAGTTCCAGAAGGAGAGGTTTACTTCGACGCACGGTTTCTGAGGTTTCAGTCCATGGTCAGCTGCCAAGGCCCAAAAGAATGGTGGAGGAAAGCTGCTCCCCTCCTGAGAGCCAGGAAGCAGAGAGAAAGGAAAGGGCCAGAGGGGCTGGGGCCAAGTACTAATACAGTCCCCAAGGTCACACCCCCATAACCCACTCAGGAATATGCTTTGCTACTCCCCTATGTGTCTCTCAAGCCAATCATGTTGATAGTTAAGATTAAGTACCACAAAGGGCTGGGGATTTAGCTCAGTGGCACAGCACCTGCCTGGCAAGCGCAAGGTCGTGAGTTCGATTCCCGGTACCGGAAAACAAACAAACAAACAAACAAACAAAAAGATTAACTACCACATCCTTCATTGTACAGGACCCAGAGGGGTTAGGGGGTTGCCTGTGGTCACAGCCAGGTCCCCAGACCATTTGTCAGTCAGACATTAGTCCTTGGGCTACAGCCAGCTTTGCTTTTTCCTATCCTCAGTTGCTTATCTATGAACTTGGTAGGCCTCGCAATGATGCATTTGGCCTGGAAGAATATAAGAAAGAGGCAGGAAGCTGTGACTTCTCACATGTTAGAAACTCCTGTGGCTGATTTGCTCTTGGGAAAAGACAGGTCCTTTATCATGCCCAAGAGGATGTGCAAATTGGGTGCCTCCTTCCCTTTAGCTTGGTTCTTTGGGTCTCATCATTTTCCTTCTGAACGTGTCACAGTCCTGCCTCAGGGCCTTTGTATGTGTGGCCCATCTGCCTAGACCATGCTCCGCAGTTGAATCTCCTTAGCACCTAAATATCCTTGAGTTCTCAGTTCAAAACCTGCTTTCTCTGGACAGCATGCTCATGCCTAAGGCTGGGTGAGCCTTTTGAGAGCTCCCTGTGCCCTGGGTACCTTCCTTCTGCTGTCGTCGCTCTTGGGGTGATTGATCATGGTCCTCTGCTGGTTTGCAGTCTGTCTCCCCTTGAGCCTCCGAGCTCCACGAGGACTAGAACCTGGCTCTCTGTGTCCCAGCTTGGTCTTGTGCCTGCTGTGTGGCCGGTCTGGGCTCAGCCTTGCTCCCTACCTCGTTCCCCGCTCTCTCCTCTTTAGGCCTGTGCCTCCTCCCATTCCCTGTGCTCCAACTTCAGCAGCACCTGGAGTCTCAGCGAGTTCCCTTCCCCGCTGGGAGGCCCGGAAGCAGCAGGGGAAGTGGCTGTCGTGGGGGGATCTGAGCCTCACACCTCGGTAAGATGCGCATCTGCCCCAGATATGGGGTGCTGACACTATTCCTATAACTGCCAGCATGCGGAGCGAGCTCCAGTTTGCCAAGGGTTCCATCTCCCAGGGGAGGCCCAGGGAGGCCTGGACTTTCTTTAAGTCCCCCGGGGCACTTGGGCACCAGGAGACCCAGCAAACTGCTCGTGCACATTGATCTCTTGGACCCTGGTCTTCTGCTCTGGGGTGGGATGGTGTTGGGCTGGGGACGTGACGCAGGGCCTGTCCCTGTGCTGTAGGAGGAGGCCACCGACAGCGAGAAGGAGATCAACCGCCTGTCCATCCTGCCCTTTCCCCCCAGCGCCGGCTCCATCCTCCGCCGGCAGCGCGAGGAGGACCCCGAACCCCCTAAGAGGTAAACAGACCGGAGAGCGCATGGCTGACCCGGGAGGCTGGTGGGAGGCCGGTTCCTGAACAGCCACCTCCCTGGAGCCCATGCCAGAGTCAGGTCCACACACGCAGTCACCTCTCATATGGCTGGAGCTCTGCAGACCCAAGTGTCCTAGGAGGGACCAAGTCGGGTAAGACAAGGCAGGAGGACAGAGAGCACCCAGGTGGGAAAGTGACTTGAGGATCTCAGAGATCCTCAGCCCCAGAGGAAGGCTGATGGCCCAGGACCAGGGGATGTGGAGAATGTTTCCAGGGGGCAAGGACCTAGGCATCAACTGAGACAGAGGCCAGAAAAGCCAAGCCATCTCCGCAGGCAGCAAGCGGAGGCCGGGTGTTGTGCCTCTGGGCCACAAAGGGAAGGTAGCAATGGGGCGAGTGAGAGATGAGAAGCCAGAGGAGGCTTCCAGAAAGAGCTGGTTTGGAAGGACAACCAGCCATAGCGTGACACGTGGCTGAGGCCGGACCTTAACCTCTTGCCCTGTGACTTTAGGGGAGCCAGGAGGCAGGGTGCCCAGTGCGTAGCCCCTTGACTGGGGTCTAGCCTGCATTTGCTTGGGAATGTGGGACCTTTAGTTAGCCTGGGGGTGGGAAGGAGAGGGGACAGAGACCCCGCTGTGCCTCACCTCCTGTCCCTTCCCCGCCCCTCTCTGCCCAGGTCCTTCAGCAGCATGTCGGACATCACAGGTAATGTCCGGGGGCTCCCTGAAGGGCTCATCCCACAGAGGCACTTCCAGTCCACCTCAGGCCCCTGTGCCTCTTCAGCGCGTGGCCTGTGTCCCCTTCTCTGAGGCCGCACTGTGTCCCTGGCCAGGGCCTGCTCAGGAAGGTCTTGGGGACTAGTTCAGGCTACCCAGCCTGAGCCAGTCACAGCCGTTAACTCCTGCCTGGATGTGGCACGTGGGGCTCCTCAGACCCTGCCCACCCACCCGCTGTCTTCTGGGAAACCAGAGTGTCGCCCTGGTGGTTCTGAACCAGCGGGGCTAGTGTCTCACTGCAGCCCTCTTCTCTCAGACCCGTGGCTGTCTCTGTCCTCCCAGACCCCTAAGTTTCACTCTTCCTCCCCAGGGAGTGTGACGCTTAAGCCCTGGTCCCCCGGCCTCTCGTCGTCGTCTTCCTCCGACAGCGTGTGGCCTTTGGGAAAGCCGGAAGGCCTCCTGGGCCGGGGCTGCAGCCTGGGCCTCCTCAACAGGTAGCAGCCATGTGGGTTGGGTGGGGCTGGGGCCGGCTTTACGCCTGAGACTGAGACGGGCATGGGGTGGAAGGCAGGAGGGGTCCCCAAGCCTCTGCTTTGAGCAAGGCCTTTAGACATAGGCAGACTTTAGATTGAAGCCCAGTTACTGCTGTTTATCGTCTCTCTGACTTGGGGTGGTCATCTCTCCTCCGGCCTCAGTTTCCTCCTTGGTCAGAGGGGGCCAGTGATCTCTCCGAGTGTGGGTGTTCTGAGGTTCATGACTCAGAACCTGACCCTGCCAGGAGCGTAGTAGCTGCTTAGTAGGTAATAGTGGTTACTTTCAGGCTTCTCGTGTCCCAGCTGCAGGACAGAGCCATCCTGCTGATCTCTTGCTGGGGGTGGGGACTGGGGCCACCAGGGGAGCCCCCACAGGCTGGAACAGTCACAAAGCATCAGCGAAGAAGGCACCACGCGCAGCTTGTGCTGTTGGTGGGCCCTGTCCATGCCTCCAGCGGGTGGAAGGCGGGGTGGGGGGACAGCAGGCTGCGCTGAGAACGTGACGGTGACCTTTGTTGGAGCTCATCTGGGGCAAGGTGAGCAGCTGCAGGGAGAACCAAGGCTGTCCAGGGAGGGGACAGGGGGGTCTGTGAGTCAGGCTGGGAACACACGGACTTTGGCTTGTGCTGTCTGGGAAGCCCGGGTGGGTTTGGTTATTACTATTTGCCAAGCCTAGTGCTGGCAGCTTTACAGCATTCTCTGTCCAGCGGGGAGGTGTTACCACAGAGGAGGAAACTGAGGCTCAGAACTTTCTTACAGTCACACAGGGGAGAAGTGCCGGGGCAGGGCCACGGTGACCTGGTCAGATTTGGGTTCGGGAGCGCTGATGGTCCACACTGGAATGTGGGTCAGGTTACATGACATGTCAGGGCAGAGCAGCACCGCGGGCCTCCTGCCTCCCAGAGGCGCTTGTCCAGGCCCGCGTCCAGGCCCTGCCCCCACCCACACCCCCTGCGACATTGTTTCTGCCGGTGCAGGACATGCTTCTAGGGGAAGGGGTGGAGGCGCCTCCCTTCCTGCCTGCCTCGGCCCTTCCTCCCTTCCTCCAGCCAGGCCCGCGGTGGGGGCCCTGGCTGCCAGCCAAGGGGCGCCAGGATGCGGCCCAGGGAGCAGGGGGCTCTGCCCAGCCTCTGCCTAGGCTGCAAGCACATGGGACCACCACTGCTGAGGCCGACCCTGGGGAGGAGGGAGTCGGAGGCAAAGCACAGAGTGGGGCGGGGCAGGGGTGCTGAGAGGGAAAGGGGAACAGGCAGGGAGGAGGTCAGGGCCTGAACCTGACCCGGTGACTCATCTGTGTCCTGGGAAGAGTGGGCTTTGGCACCAGCTTCCCAGTCTCACATCTGTGCTGCTGCTGCTGCTGCTTCAGGGCTGTGGCGGGATGCTGGATTTTCCAGAGCCTCAGTCTCCTGCTCTGTGTGTTTTATTCTTTTCTTTTTTTTTCTTTTTGGTACTGGGGATTGAACCTGGGGCCTTTGCACTGAGCTACATCTCCCGCCTTTTTAAAATTTTCATTTTGAGACAGGGTTTTGCTAAGTCTGTAAGTTGCAATCATTCTGCCTCAACCTCCTGCAGTGCTGGGATTACAGGTGTGCACCCTCATGTGCGGCTGTGTCAGAGCTACTCACGCTTATGTAGAGTGCCCACTCGCTGCTGGGCACTGTGGTGGGCGTTTTCTTGCCTCTTTCCCGTGTCCTACTGTTTCTTCCCCTCAGCCTCTCTGCCACCTGTTCCCCTGGGTGCCCCATGCTCTCCTTTCTGCCAGGGGAGCGTCAGGGCCGGGGAGGATGGGCAGCTGGGGCCGAGGAGGATGGAGCGCCCATGGCCAGACAGAGCTGGGCGGGGAGACCACAGGAGGAGCCCGGGTGAAGTGAGGTGCTGGGCGAGGAGGGGCGGGCAGGGAGCATTTGCCAGAAAGTTGGGGTGCCATCTCCGCACAAGCTGCGCCCCGCCCAGACTTGTTCACGTGGTCTCTGGATCTCCAGGACCTTCTCTCCTTGCACAGAAAGGGCTCAGATGGGTCCGGGCCTCACTTTGTTATCCACCTCCAGTGCCACCCTTGCCAAGTAACACCTTCCCCGTGCCTCAGTACCCCTCATCTCTAATGCGGGGATAATCACAGTCGCCTCCCACAGGGCTGTTGGGAGGATTACTTTTGGTCATTTGTGTGGCGCACTTAAGTCTCCGCGGCCCTGGCCCCCGCCTGGCACAAAGCACCCATAGATGCTGCCTGGATCTTCCCTGAGTGCCCACTGCTGCTCTGAGCCGGCAGACTCACCCGTCTCAGTGCCCTGAGCTCCTGGCCTGCCTGAGGGTCCTCCCCTCCCGGCTGGGCCAACCCCGTCCTTCCCACAGGGAGGGTTGGGGTCCCTCAGAGGTCAGTCTGAGAGGCCCAGGCAGGCAGCCCCTCCCCAACATCATTGTCCCCCAAACCTTGCTTGTCAGTGTCTGGGGCTGGGAGGGGTGAACCGGCCCGGTGAGTCCCAAGGACTCTGGGAAACAGGGTGCTGCTCTGGGGAAGCTCAGAAAAGTCATTTTGTGACCTGGGGAGGTTGGTGAGGGTGTCCTGGAGGAGGGGGTGGCACAACTGATCTTCAGGGAACAGCAGGTATGGGCAGGAAGAGCCTGGAGGGCTGAGGGTCATCGAGATGCTGGAATTGCAGGGGTAGGCTGGGCAGGAGGCTCCCAAGGGCCTGGTGCAGGGCGCTTGCTGGGCTGTTGTCCGAAGGCCATGGGAGTCAGTGGTCTGTGGGTTTGAGACAGGTGAGGAAACTGAGAGGCCAGAGGGTGGTGCTTTGGCTTGAAGCACATCTGACAGTGGTCAAGTCTGGCTTTTCTTGAGCACTTGGTAGTTGCTGGGCCCTGTCCCCAGAGCATTGCGTGTTTAAATGACGCTGAGTGTTAGTGAGCGGATTTGCAGCTAGGCCGTCTGGGCCCGGAGTTCTTGCCAGTGCCCTCTGACCCTGTGCTCAACCCTCTGCGCACACCCACAGGGAGAGAAAGCTAGGGTGCAGCCCGAAACAAAAGCTGGAGAGACAGTAGTGGGATTTACATGGGAGGAGCAGGGTTGTGTTTTCTATCCCATTCCCTTAAAACCACAATAAATTTATAGGAGGGGGTGGGAAGGCAAGAGACAAACAAAAATATAATCAGGACCCTGCAAATTTCACAGCCCTCCGAAGGCTCAGACCCCAGCACTTGCTGCTCCTGTAGGGTTGGGGATTGGGGCCTTATGCGTGTTTTTCGCCTCCGTAGTGGGCTGAACCCAGCATCTTCACACTGAGCCACGTCCCCAGCCCTTTTTTAAGTGGAGCTGGGGTCTCACCAAGTTGTTAAGTTGCCCAAGCTGACCTTGAACTTAGTCTTCCTGACTGAGCCTCTGGAGTACTGGGGTGAGAAGCGCTTGCTACCATGCCCAGCTGGCATCTTCCCAGCCCCCTAGTCCCTTCAGGGACTAGGACTCAAGCAACCAGCTCCTTTGCCCACATCTTGGGTGCAATGTCTCCTGGGGTTTAGAGCTGCACTGTGCGGTGTCAGCCACTGGTCATCTGGGTCTTGGGCTTCCCAGTTCTTCCAGGCCTTTCCATGTCCCTTCTGTGCAGCCAGGACAGTATAGGACTCTCAGCTCCCACACTCAAGCCTGGCGGCTGGAGCCAAAGTTTCCTGTTCCCAGAGGTGCCTGCTGGGGATGTCATTGCAACCTGGCATACCCTAGGCTGCCAGCAGGTGGCAGTGTGGTTAGATCTGTGCTGCAGCTGCTGAGGTGGTGGGGAGCTGCCCTGGGGCGCCTCTCCCATGGGCTCTGCACAGACTGTAGCCTCAGCCTCTCCCCACAGCCAGGGCCTCACGTCAGGGGCTCGGGCTCAGTTTGTCTCTGAGCCTGGCAACAGGACCTCATCAGCCCTGATCCAGGGACAAGTGATCTTGGTGACGCTTGTCTGGGCTGTCAGTGGTTCCCACTGTCTTCACAGGCTGGCTGCGGCCTGACCTTCCTGGGGGCACTTTCCCTGGGTGTTAAGTTAGTAATCAGGGCAAGGAGCTGAGCATGCTGCCTGGCACATGGGTGGCACCTGATAAGCGCTGCTGCTGTCGTGGTGATGTTGCGTATGTCCTGTGCTCTGTCCTCCACACCGAGCTCCTCCCCACCTGTCACGGAAGGTGTAGCCCCGGGGGCTCCCCTCCCCATCCCAGTGGCAACCAGCATCTTTTGCCTTGCATTGTATTCTGATGGCACCTCTCTCCTGGACTTGCTTTTTTTTTTTTGGTACCGAGAATCGCACTCAGGACCTTGTGCTTGCCAGGCAGGCTCTTGTGCCACTGAGCTATATCCCCGGCCTCACCCTCCTGGACTTTCAAGTGACCAGTGGGGATTAGCCTTCCCTGCGAGCCGGGCCCTGAGTTCGGTGCCGGGCACGCAGCCTGAACAGGAGTCTGGTACTGAACGCATTTCTGGTGGGAGTCACAAAGGGGGAAATGTAAATGGGCAAGCGGTGGTTGCGGGGGTTCCTCACCATGGGGCCCTGCGTCAGGCAGATGGCGGGGCGGGGGTGGTGCTCCAGGCACAGGGTCCCACAGCTGCAGTGGCCTGGGAGTAGGACGAGGTGTGCTTGGGGAATGAAACCACTGCATCAAAGCAAATTCCTACCCTCCTCCTCTCTCCTCAGGTCTCTGGCCATCCGAATGTCTGGCTGGAGCGCCTCAGGGTGCCGAGAGTCCCAGGACAAGGGCCCAGATGGCCTGCCCTTCCGTGGCGACAGATGGTCTGGGGCAGTAGTGCGGAGGGTGCTATCTGGCCCTGGGTCGGCCAGGACCGAACCAAGAGAGGTGAGGCCCCACCTCCTGAGCCGGGAGTGGAGTTAGTGGTCTAACCAGGGTTGGATGCTGATTGGTAGAGCAAGGTCACTGGGTGGAGCTTTGGGGAGTGGCTAAAATAGAAGCAGGCTTCATGATTGGCTGGCTGCTGGTTGCCCCGCCTTAGTTTTTAAATAAAATCTGATTGGATAAAAGCTGAGAGGCGGGGCAGAGTTACAGCACTTTGACAGAGTCCAGCCATTCAAAGAATTTTCATTCTCTGCCGGGTTATCTCCTAGCCCAGGGCAGAAAGTGCCGGCCTGGAGGGGGAAGGCCTGGAGGCCGAGACCCAGCAGAGATCCTTGGTGTCCACACTGCCCTCACGGCTGGACTCAAAGGGTAAGCCTGGCCTGGGGCAGGGCCTGGGAGTTCCTGAGTCCTAGAAAGCCAGAGCCGATGGCCGCAGGGAGGACTCTTCCAGCCGAGGGCGCAGGTGGGAGAGAAGGGTAGAGGAGATGCTTCACCCTGTCTCCTGCCTCCCGCGGAGCTGCAGGCCTCTTCTCTATTCTCGTGCCCTTTCTCTTTGAGCGTCCAGTGAAAGGAACACTACATTGAGTCGATGGACCTGGGTTTGAGTGCTGGCTCTGACCTTAGTGGGTTCAGTGGCCTTGGGGAATCCCCACCCCTCCGAATCTAAGTCACTGGAAGAAGGAAGGAGGGGTCCTGGCAGCTGTGTCTCGAGAGGGCAGTCACTGTGGCCCCGAGAAAGCCCCCTGACCTCACGTCGCCTCTCGTGTTCCCTGCTGCTCCCTGCCCTGTGCATGCCCAGCCTGCCAGTCCTTCCACGAGGCCCTCGATGCCTGGACGAAGGGGCCAGGAGCTGAGCCCTTCTACATTCGAGCCAACCTCACCCTGGCCGAGCGGGCGGATCCCCACGCTCTCTGTGTGAAAGCCCAGGAGATCCTGCGGCTAGTGGACCCGGCCTACAAGCGGCGGCAGGAGTGGTTCTGCACCCGGGTCGACCCCCTCACCCTGCGGGACCTGGACAGGGGCACGGTGCCCAACTATCAGAGGTGAGGTGGAGCTAGGATCCTGGGGATGGGGCCCCATGGCGAGCTGGGTCAGGGTGGGGTGCTCTTTCCTCCTGTAATCCCTTGCTGTCCTCTGGGACAGGATGGGGGCGGAAGAGAGAAGTGAGGGGCTTCCTTCTCCCTCCAAGTGCGTGACACGACTCCCTCCACAGAGCCCAGCAGCTCCTTGAAGTCCAGGAAAAATGCCTGTCCTCTAGCCGGCACCGAAGCCCCCGCAGTAATGTGAGCAGGGCGGGGTGGGCAGGGATGGGGCCCAAAGGGTGGGCGCTGGCTCCATTTTCTGCAGTCCTGGGGGTGGAGAGGAAGCATAGCCACACCACCCCTCTGCTGGAATTTAACTGATCATCTACTATGTGCCCAGCAAACGACAATGGTTTTGCCTTCTAGGGTGGGTGAGAGATTAAATGAGATAGATTTTGTCCACCATCCTGGAGCAGTTCAGGCACATAGTAGGCATCTGATAACAGTCGTGTTCCTTTTCCAATCCCCGGGTGAGGGGCGGGTTGGTCACCACCCTCCGTCTGAGAGGTTAGATCAGTGAGAGGCAGTGCTGCTGGAGAGCAGGCTGAGCACGGGCCTAGGGGAGACTGGTGGGATGGGAACTGTAGCTCTGGCGCTCAGCAGCTAAGTGACTTTGGACAGTCACCTGACCCTCTCTCCTGCTGCTCCCTCTCCCATTCTTGGGGCGGTTTTTTCAGTCTGCAAAGTGGGGTGGTCATTCTCCCTGCCTCCTGGGCAGCGTGTAGCTGCAGGGAGTCCATGCACATCTGAGGCCAGTACTTTCCCCTGCCGGCTTCCGTATCTGGCAGGTTGGGGATAACTAGTGCTCTCTTATTGGATCATTAATCTCCCTACTCACGGCCACAGTAGTAACGCATTGAAGAGCACCCAGAGTTGGTGACAAAAGGCTCCTTTTGGTCTCCAACCTCAGTCTCCCCATCTTTAAGGTGGAGTGCACATAAAGTTCCTCTAACTGGCTTGCTGTCATGTGCCCTTAGCAGTGGTCACCCTCCTCTTTCTGGGGCTGTGACGGGTGGGGAGAGGCCTGACACCTACATGGGCCTGGACAGCGGGGCAGAGGGGCCTATCCTGCCTGGGCCTGTTTCCTCTCCTGTCTCCCTAAAGTGGGGGTGGTGTGAGTGCCCAGGTGACCCTTTTTCCCTCATGCCTCCCCAGCTGAAGAAGCGGGCCCTGGGGCTGGTGAGGCCTAAGCCTGTGGGGGGCTCTGCAGGGGACTCCTCAGAGCAGCTGCTGCCAGAGCCCTGCTCAGGTGAGTGTGTGGGGTGTCCTGGGTTGTTTGTGGAGCCCAGGAATGTGGGCATGGGGGTGTCCTTTGGCCATGGTGCTCTGGAAGGACTGTGAGGGTCCCACTGAGGCTGGGGCTCGAGGGACAAGGCTCCCCCTGCTGATAGAAGGGCTGCCGGAGTTGAGGAGACCCTGTGGACAGGAACTCCTGGTTGTGACCGTGGCTTCGGGGTGCTGATCATGGCCTGTCCCCGCGTGGCAGAGAGTGGCTGAGCTTCATGCATGTGTGTGATGGCAGAGGCTGTGAGGACTACAGGGAGGTTTCCTGGAGGCAGCAGGGTGAGGCCACATCGGGGGCTGGGGGCACCCAGGAGGGTGAAGCAGTTCTGACGTGCAGGGGGAAGAAGGTGGTTAGGAGGCTTTTTAGAAGAGAGGTTGTTTCCACGGTGTCCTTCGAGGATGAAGAGGAGTTTGCCTTGGGTGGAAGGCACGGCGCAGGCATGGCACAGAAGCATGGCCGCCTGTGGGGGTTTTGGAGGACCATGGCACAGCACGTGGGTACCGAGCACATTGCTGGGCACCGGGGACTCAGTGGTCCCTTCCTCGTGTCTCCCAGGGAGGCTGACACTGTCACATTAAATCACCATGAACGCAGGAGGCGTGAGATGTGTAACGCAGGAGACCACCAGGTGCCGTGGGGCATCTGGCAGGGCCCTGCCCACTTGGGCACCAGGAGGCGGCCCTGGGCTCTGAGGCGCTGAGGGTAGCTGAGCTGGGAGGTGCAGGGCTGCAGCTTCGGGCGGCCACCCGTGTGCAGAAGTCCTGTGACAGGAGGCGTTGAGGCCAGAGAGGTGGGAGGGGTCTGTGGCTCACCCTTGGGCTCGGGGCAGGCTGTGTCACTGTGGAGGGTGTGGCTTCTGGCCTGTGGACCTGGGAAGCCACTGGCACCTTGAAAGCAGGGGAGTCACCCCCTGGGACTTCTGTTTGGAAGCCTCTCTCTGGCTGCTGAGTGGAGAGTGACCTGTACAGTGCAGGGCGGAGGCAGAGGATGAGAGAAGAGCCCACTGCACTGGTCCCAGCATGGAAGTGGGGGAGCCCTGCGGAGGGTGTGTTGTGTGTGTGTGTGTGTGTGAGCCAGCAGGACTCAAGAAGGGAAGAAGGGGTGGGCGGCAGGGTGGGTGTGACACTGGTTTGGAGTATCAAAGGCAGCAACAGGCCTCATGCTCCCCACACCCTCCCTGCTGTAGAGCCAGAGCGGAGCCTCAAGCCCTACAGCCTGGTGCGGCCGCTGCTGGTGTCCGCGCTGCGGCCGGTGGTGCTGCTGCCTGAGTGCCTGGCGCCCCGGCTCATCCGCAATCTGCTGGACCTGCCCAGCTCCCGGCTGGACTTCCAAGTGTGCCCAGCGGGTGAGTCTGCGCCCCGGAGGGAGGGCAGCGCACCAGGGCAGCAAGGTCCAATGCCCTACGCCCCTCCTCTCCCTCTTGATCTGCAGAAAGCCTCTCTGGGGAGGAACAGTGCTCACCCTCGGCACCTGGAGCCCCCAAGGCCCAACCTACCATCCCTGGGCTAGGCAACAGGATCCGCACCATCCAGGAGTTGGTTGGGAAGGTAGGTGCTAGGGGCCCTGGGCCACCTTTCTGGGCCAGCATCTGTGCTGCCTCCAGGGGTCCTCAGTTTCCTCACCTGTGATTGTGAGCAGGTTGAGGCCTTTGCCCTCACCTGGGAGAGGCTGTGAGGACCTTTGCCCTACCCTGGGTCACCTTGGAGTTGTTGAGCTCTTGACCCTCACCTGTGCTTCCTTATCTTTGAACTTGCGTCTCTCTTGTGAGCTAGCTGCAGGGCCTCAGGTAGTGAGTGGGTGTCTCCCTATAGACAGGAAGACCCAGGTCCAGAGCAGGGATGTGATCTTTCTCATGTCGCCCTCGAACCCAGGTCCCTGGTCTCCCCATCGAAGTCCTTTGCTCCCTGCTGGGGTCTCTCTGGGTGGGGACACAGAACTTGTACCCGGGCAGATGTGACGGGGGACAGTGTGGGGTGGGGCCTGGTATCCCTGGACTGGGAGTAAACACGGCCTTGCGTCTCCGAGAAGAAACACTGCCTGTTGGAGCTGGGTGCACGGGGCGTGCGGGAGCTGGTACAGAGCGATGTCTACCCCATCGTCATCCACGTGGAGGTGACCGAGAAGAATATCCGCGAGGTCAGGTGAGGCCGGGTGGGGCTTGCAGGCACCTGCACTCAGAGGATGTCTTTGTACCTCTCTAGCTCTGTTTGCCTGTGTTTTGCTCGTTGTCTCCCTCGGTTTGTCCACTCTTCTTGTCGTCTGTCCCTACCCCTCTGTTTCTGTGACCTTCTCAGTCCCCTGCTCTGACACTGCCTGTCCTCTCTCTGCAGGGGCCTCCTGGGCCGGCCAGGCGGGCGGGACTCGGAGCTGCTCCGGCAGTGCCGCAGCGCAGAGCAGGCGCTCTGGGGGCTGCCCTGCTCTTGGGTGCAAGTGCCCGCGCATGCATGGGGCCACGCAGAGGAGCTGGCCAAGGTGGTGCGCGGCCGCATCCTGCAGGAGCAGGCCCGCCTCGTGTGGGTGGAGCGGGGCAGCAGCGGTGGCAGCGGCAGCAGCAGCGAGGCCTGAGGACCCATCGAGGGCTGGCTTCCTGCATCCGAGGCCTGACTTCCTCCATCGATGCCTGGGTTTCCTCCACTGGAAACCTGGCTTCCTCCGTCTGAGGCCGGGCTTCCTCCCTCGCTGCCAGCCAGTAGGACCCTGTGTCTGTGGCCAGTTGGGCCCTCCCATCCTGAGCCTTCCTTGAACTTCGGACTCTCCAGCGTGGGACTCTGGGCTCTGGGCTCTCACCTGTGCTTGTCACTTGCACCCTGTCGGAGGGCTGCAGGAGCGCATGGGCCAGAGTTGCCACCTGCCCCCGTACTTGCTGCTGTGGGCCTGCCTTCCTGTCACCCTGTGTCCCCACATTCCCACTCGTGGGTCTCACCATTGTGTGTCTTATCCTTAAACGCCTACCCTGGAGTCTGAGTTCTCACACCCGTGCACAGGTTTGCACAGCCAAGTTCTCACAGGGCAGGCTGTGGTTCTGTCCCTTCCCCTGGGTCCATGGCGTCTCCCTTGCGCCTCAGCTTGAAGGAGCACTGAGCCTGCCACCTTGTGACCCCCACCCACCCGGCTCGCGCGTCTTGTGTACCCTGCCACCTGTGGCCATGGTGGCTGCCTTGGTCCACTGTCACCTGTATCCGTTGTGCCTCCTTGTGTGTGTCTGTGGGTCCCTCCTGTGTACATGTCACACCCACCCTCTGACTCTTGGGCACTAACAGGTGTGTGTTCCCCGAGAGCACACCCAGGATCATGTTCTCACAGCTGCCCTGTCCCGAGCCCCAAGGGCCCGGCGGGGTGGCTGCCCTGCCCCGAATGTATGCCTGTGATAACTAACGGGCCTTTCACTCAGAAGCTGCACAATATGGAACATTAAACACATTGTCGTACATGCTGGTGGCCTCTCTTGCCTGGGGCCCCTCTCCGCTCCTCCCCTCTGTCCCCACTTCCAGCTCTGGCGGATTCCACCTTTCCATCCAGATTGCCCGTGGGGAGGGTCGGATTTCCCTCCTGACTCATCCCAGAGCTGCCCGCCATCTGTGCTGGCATCACCTTACCTGCCCCCGAAGGACAGGTGGGGGCCCCACAGACGGGCCACCCAGCGCTCAGCCCTGCCCCGCCTTTCAGAGCATGTCCTGTGAAGCACACGGGCCAGCAGGGCCCAGCTGCTGAGTGTAGGGGCCCTCAGTGCCACGAGAAAGCACAGTGGCCTCGGGGAGCAATCCAGGCAGACTGACTGGGGGAGGTGCTATTAAACTTGAGGATTGGATGCCCTTCAAGAAGCACTGCTTGGTTTATGTGACTAAATTCTAGTGTCCATCTTTGGTGCTAGTGATGAACTTGAGCAGGCCCTGCAGAGTGGGAGGGGTAGCAGAAAATGATCGAGTGGGGCCACCCAGGGAGTGGGAGGTAGCGAGCCTAGACTTCTAAATCCGGGGTTTGGGCTGTGTTGTGTTCGTCCAGGGAGGCTCTGGGTGCCAGGGCGGGAGCCCTCTTTGGGGTTGACTCGGGGCTGGAGCGGGCTGTGCCTGGCCTGAGTAGGGGCTGTGGGAAGAGGAGCACCTGGGAGCGAGGGGTGGTTGAGTCTCCAGGGGCTTGGGCTGGGCCTCTTTGGCAGCTGCTGGAACAGACCCTGGGCTCAGGAGGGATCAGGGCTGGGATTTGGGGACCAGGGAAACCGCGAGGGCTGAGGGGCCCAGGTAGGGGGCTGAGGCCCCATCTTTAGTGGAAAGAGGACGCAAGGAGAGCATGCCAGGTGGAGGGTGATCAAGGACCTCAGAGGCCACAGGGGAGGAGGGGGATTGGGAGGGCGGAGGGTGCCTGGCTGTTTCTCCTGGGATGGGTGAAGGTCTGGAGCAGTGCGGGGGCTCCAGACGCTGGAGTTCCACCAGCCGGGCGGCCCTCAGCAGTGGCCACACTTCTCTGCCCAGGGCGTGAGGCTCCCGAAGCCGGGAGGTGAGGTTGGGAGTGGGGCGCTGGACATGCGCTCTATGGACTGGCCAGTGCCATTTGGAGAGCCATTGCTTGAAGACTCAGAGACTCGGGGGCAGGGGACAGGGAGGAGCTTTGCCTGGGACCTACAGGACACCCAGCCACCATGACAGGTAACAAGGCTCTCTGCTAGAGGCAGGCTGCGTCCCTTGCCACTCGAGGGCTGCTCTGGTGGAGATGCTCTGCCCTTTGCCCCTGGGTAGCTGGCTCTGTACCACCCTGGCTGTGTTCTGGCTGAGCCTTCCATCACGCCAGCCTCTGCCCCAGTGGCTTCTGGTCTCTGTCCTGACCTTTGAGGTCTGGCTGGGACGCCTTCTCCAGGAAGCCTGCTGGATACTCTCAGCTCTTGGACTTTGCCTGGCCCTAGCTCTCTTCTGCCTTGTGGTAGGATGGGGGTCTGTGTGGCCATCTCTGTGGGTGGTGGGGGCTCCTTGGGGTTGGGGTTGGGGTTTGCTTGACCCTCTTTTACTGTGCCCTGCCCAGTGCTTGGCCTGTGCACACCTGGATCCGGAAGAGGCTGTGGCCAGCTGCTCAGCTGCCCTTGACCACATCTGTCCAAGGTGTCCTTTCCATGAGGTGCAGAAGCCTGGGGTCACTCCAAGCCATGCTTTGGTTCCTAATTTCTTTTGCCTGGGAGTGGCTGGGTTGGGATTTGAACCCAGGATAAAGCCTGGGATTGTCCCTCGATGATGCTGTTCTGAGAAGGCCGGCTGTGAAGGGGCCTGGCTGGGGGCTGCCCCGTAGGAAGATGGCTTAAAAAGGCTGGTTTCCCATTCCTGTCCCTTGTTGTCCTGATGCAGGGCTGGGTCACTGCAGGCCAGTCCCATTCACCAGCCATCTGGCACTCTCTTGGATTTATTATTATTATTATTATTTTTATTTATTTATTTTTTTGAGACAGGGTCTCGCTACGCAGTTTAAGCTGGCCTTGAGCTCACTTTGTAGTCCAGGCTGGCCTTGAACTCACAACGATCCTCCTGCCTCAGCCTCCGGAATGCTGGGATTACAGGTGTGCACCACCACGCCCTGCTCTCTTGGATTTAATCAGCAAGAATTTCCTGAGCACCTAGAATGTGTCAGGCACTGTTCTAGCACTGGGGCTGGGGATTCCATGATTAGAAGAAAGAAACCTGTGTCCTGATATTCTCATGAGGGCAACAGACAATAAGTAAAATATATAGGCGGTTGGGAGATGAATGTCTTATGGAGAAAACATAGCATGAAAGGGGGCCCAGCAGGACAGGCCTGGAGGGCCTAGGAAAGAGGTCAGAGGGTCTGCAGTTTAAAGAAGTAATCAGGGCTAGCCTCCTGGGGGAGGTGACATTTGCATAAAGGTAGGAAGAAGTAAGTAAGCAGGACATGCTAATGTCTAGGGAAAGTGCTCAGGAGTAGCAGGTGCAGAGGTCCTGAGGTTGGAGGGTACCTGGCCTGAGGTTGGAGCAGAGGGAAGATCTTAAGGTGGGAGCCAGTGCGGGGCTGGAGCAGCGGAGCGGAGGGGTGTGAGTGACTTCTGCAGAACAGGAGGGAGGTGGGGCTGGAGAAGGCCCTCGGTCTGTCCTCTGTCTTGGCTGGGACAGCGGTAGCTACAGTGACTACCAAGTGAGGTGGAGTGCGGGGTGGGCCCCTGCTGGGGGCCGAGATGAGGGCAGGAGAGCAGGCTTCTGCGGCCTCTCTGTCTGAGCTACTGCATCGCGGTGCCCACCCCTGAGCCTCTGGTCCCGACGCCTCGGCTATACACTGGACACGACCATCCCAATGCTGTGTGGAGACGGAGGAGCTGGGTGAACCTGTGTGGGAGCTGCAGGAGGTGGAGGGGGCCTCCGGAGGGCTGCAAGTCCAAATGCAATTCGGTGGGAGATGGAGAGCGCACGCAGGTGGAGACTGGAGCGCCTCCGGCCCCGCCGCGGTCCCGGAGGAGAGAACGCTGGGCGCACAGGGTCTGTGGGCTCTGCGGCGGGGCCGAGCCGCTTTTCCTTC